ACCCTTTGGGCCTGGAAACAAGAGAAAGGAGGTGGGAGGTCCACGCCTGCGCCCCAGGTGGGGACTCTAACTCGTGCTCTCCCCGCAGGATGCAGCGCCGAGGCTTCCTCCTCCTCGCCTTCCTCTCCCTGCTGGCGCTCACCTCCGCGGTGGCCAAAAAGAAAGGTGATACGGGGCTTGGGGGAGCTGAATGTGGGGATGAAGCCTGGCAGGTGAGGCCGGAAGCCTCGGTTCCGAGGCCAGGATCTCGAGAAGGGGTCCCACAGTGAGTCTCTCCTGGCCCAGGTCTTGAGCTCTGTTCCCCGTGCGTTGTAGACAAAGTGAAGAAGGGCGGCCCGGGGAGCGAGTGCGCGGAGTGGACCTGGGGACCCTGCACCCCCAGCAGCAAGGACTGCGGCGTGGGTTTCCGCGAGGGCACCTGCGGGGGTCAGACGCAGCGCATCCGGTGCCGGGTGCCCTGTAACTGGAAGAAGGAGTTTGGAGGTGAGGTGGGGCACAGGTGGAGGGTAGGCAGAGGGGCACAGCTGCACTGGAACCTGGGCAGCCCTGTGGAGGGGGCCACGGGCCACCCAGCTCTGACCCCAGACACTCTCCCGCCAGCCGACTGCAAGTACAAGTTTGAGAGCTGGGGGGCGTGTGACGGGGGCACAGGCACCAAAGCCCGCCAAGGAACCCTGAAGAAGGCTCGGTACAATGCCCAGTGCCAGGAGACCATCCGCGTGACCAAGCCCTGCAGCCCTAAGACCAAAGCCAAGGCCAAAGGTCAGCAAAGTGGGGGTGATCATTGCAGGGGGCTGCCCCCACTTGTGAAGGGAGTGTTTAAACCTGTTTTGGATCCTGGCCAGTGACTTCTTGGCATCACTACACTGTTTCCCTGTGGGTGAGATGCCGTAGATAGGCAGTACTGAGTGCCCCGCAGAAGGTGCTGAGGAGATTGAAATCCTGGCGCAAGTGAGGACAAAGTCAGCTGTTCTGTTGGAGCCTTTGGCTTAGGATTCAGGGAGCTCATCCTGGAAGGGCTTGGCTTTGTCATCTCTCTGGCAGGAGGGAGCGGTGTGGTCAGTTCGGCCCTTTCTAGTGTGGGAAGGACTCCACAGCCCATGCTCCCTCTATCCCTTAGCTTCACTCCTGATTCTTAGCAGCCCTGGAGGCCAACAGGGCAGAGGTGACTCTGCCCACTTCTCAGGTGAGGGGACTGAGGCTGTTGTCCAGGGCTCTTGGGAGCAGGACTGGGACCAGGAACTTGAAGGTTTTCTGATCCCAAATGGAAGTCTTTAAGTAGGGAGTGAGGACTGTCCAGCATCAAGTGCCCTATCCCACTGGCTTCCAGGTCAGCTAATAGAGAACCACCAGGGGGCAGGGTTTCTTCTCCCTGATGTGTTTGTAAGGGGAAGGGAGGGGTCTCCACTAGGTCACCAAAACCCTGCTAACCTGGTACTTCTTTCTTGTTTTGCAGCCAAGAAAGGGAAGGGGAAGGACTAGCAGCCAGGCCTGGATGCCAAGGAGCCCCTGGTTTTACTCGGGGGCCTGGCCCACTCCCTCCCTCCACAGGCCCAAGATATAACCCACCAGTGCCTTTTGCCTACTCATTAGCTTTATCAATCATGCCCTGCTTTCTCCCCTTCACTCACCCACCCCTACCCCAAGTGCCCAAAGTGGGGAGGGACAAGGGATTCTGGGCAGCTTCAGCCTCCTCCCCCAAAGGGATTTGATTCCCCATACCCACTTTTTTCTTCCCCCCAATGATGCCATTACTAAGAAACAAATAAAATAAACTGTTTTTTCCCAATAAAAGCTTTTCTTTTAATATATAAAAGCCCCTTCCCAGGGAGTTTGCTGAGATAACTTGTCGGAGGTGGGGGAGTGGTGGAGAGAAGGCTGAGGGAATGGCGGCTTTCAGGGGGTTGGGGCTTGGCGGTGAGTGCCCCCCCAGAGCTCATGGAGAAAGAAGGGCTATGAAAATTTCTTCCAGGGCCCCCTACTCACCTCTGGAAGGGTGCCCCCCCCCCATCAAGTCCCCTGAACCTTTCAGTCCTGTCTCTCCAGAGGCCATACAACGGTTGGGAGAGGGGACCTGGGAGACTCACTAGAACTGACAGCTTCACCCAGGTCAAGGGCTTTTGGTCCAGCCCACTGCCAATCTGAAAATCCCTAGGGTTAGGGGTTGTCTCACTACCCCCCACTCCCACTTTCGTTGAAACCTGTGTGTGGGTCAGATCCACCCCAATTTTCTCCCTGGTGACCCAGGCATCCCTCACACTGGGCAGGGGCCAGCAGAGAATAACACCAGGGCCCCACCTTCACTATGTGACCTCTCTCCTTGGGGGAGGGGGAGCAAACGCTTCAAAATAACGGGCCACTCAACTCAGGCCTGGGACCATGGGTGGCCAGATCTCAGTTCCTGAGTAAACAGCTGGTCTCCCTGCTGGCCCATCCTGAATGTGACCAGGGCAATGCTGCGGGGTGGGGAAGGGGTGTGCTCAGAGCCCACTCTGCCCAGCCTCCAGCCAGCCCACCCACCCCACCCAGCCAGAGCCAGGCTGAGTAGCTGCAGCAAGGGGAGATTTCTGCCCCTGGAGTTGGGTTTAGGAGGAGGGGGCTGAGCCTACATGCGGGGTGCGGAGGGGCAGAAAGCACCGATTACAGCAGAATGGGGGACCCTCCCATTCCCTTCCTGAGCCTCCTTTCCCAAGCACTGGCCCCTTTGCTCTTTCTGAAGGGGTGCTGGGCTCTGCTCCTCTCCAGATATCCCTTCTTCCAGCCACACTGGCTGGTCACAGTGGGGCAAGTGCCCCCCAGCTCCCTGAGGCAGGGCAACAGAGGTGGGTTAGATAGTCGGGTTCAGTCACTTCCTGGGGCTGATCCTCCTTGCCTGAGCAGAGATCTGGTCTCTCTGAATCCAGCCTCTTCATGAGCCTCAGAGTCCTGGGGACCTCAGTTCTCTTCGGCGAACGTGAACACGGAGAAGCACTTCCAAATCTCTCCTCCACAGCAGCTGAGCCATGTGGTCCCCCAGCACACACACCAGCACCTCCAGTGGCACCCCTGCCTGCCTACCTGGCAGTGCCGATGTTCCGATACTGGCATAGCAGCAGGTGCCTGAAAGTCTTTTTAAAGGTGGCGTTGCAGAGGGCATAGCAGGCCGGGTTGATGGTGCTGTTAACGTAGCAGAGCCAGTAGCCAATGGACCACACGGTGTCAGGGATGCAGCTCTGGCAGAAGGTGTTCACCAGGACCATAACGTTGTAGGGCGTCCAGGTGAGGATGAAGGCCAGGAGAATGGCAAAGATGGTCCGAGTCACCTTGCGCTCCCTGGCTGCCATCTGCCGCTTCTTACGCACCTGGTTGCGGGCGATGCTGGCAAACTTGCGTGCCACATTGGCCGCCGGACGCATGCCAGCTGGTGTGGCCGGCACAATTTCGATGGCTGTCACACATTCGTTGCCTGTCTGTTTCGTCACAATCTGGATCTTGGACCATTTGGAGGCTGGATTGAGGGTCCGCGGCTGTAGGGGAGGGGCGGGAGTGGCAGGCGTGGTGGCCTCTGTGGTTGACAGCTCCGTAGGTGGTCTTTCCTTGGTGTTCTGGGTGGCGCTGCCCGAGCTGGACTCATTGGAGGTGTCTTTGTCAGTCATCGGGCGTGGCGGGGGTGGCAGAACGGGCGGAGGGGCCTCCTCTAGCTTCCCGTTGCGCAGCTCCCCGCGAGCAGCTTCTCCTGGGGGCGGTTTCTTGACACTCTGCTTCATCAGGGGGCTCTTGAGGAAGGCCAGGGTCTTGGCCTTCTTCTCCTTTGGGCCTTCTGGCCGGTGCTTATGAACTCGGCTGCGACTGGCCAGGGAGATGTGGATGTAAAGCACCGTCATGATGACCACAGGCAGGTAGAAGGCAGCAATGGCCGTGCCGAAGGTCACCGCCGGGTTGGACAGGAACTGGATGAAGCACTGGTTGTCCGGCACCGTCCGCTTGCCCACCACAAACTGCCAGAACAAGATGGCAGGTGCCCAGAGCACGAAGGACAGGACCCAGGCAGCGGCAATCATGAGGCCCGCCATCTTGGTGGTGCGCCGCGCTGGGTAAGTGAGGGGCTTGGTGACACAGAAGTACCGGTCAAAGCTGATGATGAGCAGGTTCATGACTGAGGCGTTGCTCACCACGTAGTCCAGGGCCAGCCACAGGTCACAGACCACGGCGCCCAGGGGCCAGTAGCCCTTGATGATGTACACGGTGTAGAGGTTCATGGAGAAAGCGCCTATGATGAGATCGGCACATGCCAGGCTGAAGAGGAAGTAGTTGTTGACTGTCTGCAGCTGCCTGTTGACTTTGATAGACAGCATCACCAGGATGTTGCCCACAACAGTCACCAGGCTCAGCGAGCCTGTCACGGTGGCAATGAACACCATCTCCACGGTCTCATAGCGGTTATGGGTTGCTGTGACCAGGCGCACAGACTGATTGCTGGAGCTGCCATTGACTGGTGTGAAGTTCGCCATTTTGGCTAGCAGCGGTGGGCGGGCGGTGTCTGGAGGAGGAAGGAGAAAGGAAATGATTGAACTGTTGAAGTGGATTAGAGGGGTGAGGTGGGGTGAGCTGGAGTCAAGGTGACAGAGGAGCCTTATCCTGCAGAACCTTAGAGAACTCTGTCCTATCACCTACTCACATGGGAATTCATTCATCCCTACTGTGTGGAAGCACTGTTGTAGATGCTGGGGTTATCGAGGTGAACGAGACACATGCAGCCCCCAGTCTCACGTAGCCTACAATCTGATCAGGGGAGGCATACAAACACGTGAGCAATGAAAGAGTGCTAGAAAGAAAACAAGGTAGGTTATAGTGAGTCTGAGGACAGACAGGGATGGGTCCCCACTGGGTGATCAGTGAAGGCCTCTCTGAGGAGGTGATTTGGATTATGGCGAGGAGGCAGCCACGTAGAAAGCTGCAGAGAGTGGCCTACTTAAGGGCAATGGCAAGAGCAAAGGCCCTGAGGCATGTGTGAGGGATGGACAGAAGGCCAGTGTGCGGCCACTGGGAAGCAAGTGGTCCCAGGCAACAGCCTGCAGCTCTGGTCAGAAGTGCTCATTCATTCACCTACTCGATCATTTCTTAACCAAACCTTCCCGGGAACCTGCCCTCCAATCCCTACAGAAGGCATTGGGGACAAAGGCAAGAGTATATACGAGCAGCTAACATTTATTGTCCACAAAGTGCCAGGCACTTTTTACAAGTATTAATTCATTTCATCCTTGCAACAAATCTATGAGATAAGTACTGTTATTTTTTACTACTTACAGGTGAGGAAACTGAGGCACAGAGATGTTAAATAACCTGTCTGAGGCTCCACAGCTCCTTGACTTCATGTTGCTGTCCCAGAGCTAGGGGTTTGGGCAGAGGAAGGCCCAAAGAACCTCAGAAGCCAGTGATCCCACCTTGGGGAAGGCTTCCCAGAGGACCAGAAGAGGTGACACGGAGCTGCGAATCCAAGGAGGGGGAGACAGCCTTGCAGAGAGACTTACTGTGGCATCCCCTCCTGGAGGACCACTGGGTTCCCATCCCCAAGGCATGAGGGTGCAGTACAAGGGTAGCTGGCGTCTGTCAGCAGCCAGGGGCTAAGACCTGTCAGGAAGTAGAAGCTTAAAGGGCCCATCAGCTGAGGAAGGACACACATCTCTTCCCAGGGGCCAGCACCCACCCCAAGGCCCCACTGGGAACACTGAGTGTCCCAGAGGGAAGAGAGGGGCTGCAGCAGGGGAGTCCATAGCCAGCCCCTGAAGTGCCCCTAGCCCACCAGTACACACCCCAGCACCCCAGCTGGGGTCCCCCAATATGAGGTCCCTCCCCAGAGCCTCTTTATGTTTCCTCCCCCTCTTCCTCTCCCCTACATGTGAGGGAGGCCCACGCCCAGTGTGCTGTGCCAGGGCAGCCGCTCAGCCCAGCCTCCTTCACACCCGCCAACACGCGCACCATTACACACGCACACGGGCCCCATCACAGCCCTGCCAGCCCCGCAGCTCACTGTGTGTCTGTGTGAGAGAGAGAGAAACAGGGAGAGGAAGCAGGGTGTGGATCATGCACTGGAGGCTGGAGCCAAGTGCCAGGGTGACCCCTCCCCAAGCCTGGCCTCAGCCCCCCTAAGCCACCATCCCAGACACAGACACAGCCTCCTAGCCTGGTAATTCCAATTGGCATGCCCAAATCCTTGGTCCACAGGAGTGGCTCAGTGAGGGGTGTTGCCACCCTCAAAGTTGCAGAGACGTCAAGGGCAAAGACCAGATACTACCCCCTCTTCTGAGGGTGTCTGACAGCCCTTTTCAGCATCAAGAGACTCCAAAATGGAATCTCAGGCACCACCCTCTGAGGTGGAAGGGCAGAGCACCCAACGTGCAGAAGCTGCCCTCCCCAGGCACGCACAGTGTGGGCAGGAGCGATTGGTCAGCCAGCCCCAAGGAAACCCTCACCTTAGCCTCCCAGGGTCAGGACACAGACCAGTGAGATCAGAAAGGGGCTGGAGGTGCCAAACAGGAAAATCATAGCTCTTGTTTATTGAGTGTTAACGATGAGTCAGGAATCCCTCTGAGCTTTTTATATAGATTATTGGGTTTAATCTTTACAGCAGCCTGAAAAGGCAGGTACTATAAGTATCCTCATCTTACTGAGGTTAAGGATCTTTTACAGATGAGGATAATGTTAATTAACTTGCCTAAACTCACCCAGTGTATAAGTAGGGGCGAGGGCAGGATTAGAACCCAGGAGCCACCTTCTTAACCCCAAGGTGCTAATGTCTCCAGAGTTGATTTCCT